CCGCCCCAGGGAGGAGGCAGGGCCCGAGCGCGCGCACCTTCCTGGGGTGTCCCTGGGCCCTCCCAGGGCAGGGGGGACAGGGAGAGCCGGGCACACTGCAGCCCCTGGAGGAGGGCAGGCAGAGAGAAACCTCAGGCTGGGCCCTCAGGACCGGAATCTCTCACCTGCCCGGCCCTGGGCCCACCTTGCCAGAAACGCACAGAAGCAACAAGTCACACGGGAGAAGCAGATACTTAGTGTCTCCCCTCTGACATTTCAGAGCCTAAGGCAGGCAGGTCTCTAGCAGCACTGGACTGATTTTCTGCACAGCTCTTTAGAAGATATTCAGAGCCCAAAAATGCACATGAAAGAAATCATTGAAGGAAAACTCAGAATCAGGGTACATGTCCTTCCCTTATCCTTAGATTGGATATTGCTTTCATTCTGAGCAGGAGCATTGGATTTGCTAGGCTCGAAGCCTCTGAAAGTCTGGGGCTGCAATCTAAGCCAGACACTGCCCCTGGCCACACTGGTGCTGGCCACGCTAGTTCTGGCCTGGCACCCCCGCCTCCTCTGGCTGTTGTAACCTCTCCTTCCTCTTCCATCATGCGGCACAGGGCCCTCTACTTTCCCTCCCGACAGTTCTAACCTGTTCAGAGAGGCATCGATGAATTTCACTTTTTCTTAAACCCCAAGCAGACTGGACCCATGGTTCACATTCAAGAATACAAGTGTTGGGTCTGCAATCAGCTCGCTGTTCTCTAATGCCACTTTTGCCACCACCCCTGCTCCCCCCACCCCACCCACCAGCACCTGACCCATAGACATTGCCCCAAAGTATTAAAAAGACAGCATGAAGCGGGGGGCGGGGCTAGGGAAAGGGGGAAAGTTTTTTCTTCTTCCCAAATATTGGCAGACTTCTCCCTGTAACACAGTTGTAGGAGCCCTATTCGCAAGGAGGAAACTAGAGGTGATCGCCAGAGACTACCTTAAATTCTACTTGCATATGGGGACTCCGCTGCACTAATAAGAAGCCATCTGATAAAAATGTTGTACTGGGAGAGAGAAGGGGTTAACAGTCAGCCAACTGAAGTGGAACCTAGGGTTGGGATAAGGGGGGGCCTTCATTTTCCTCAACTGTAAAATGAGGGTCTTGAATTAAATGTCTAGGGGTTGGGGGGGGAGGCCCCTTCTGATGCTGAAATTCCTGCCCTGAAATCAGTTTCTCCTCAGCTTACTTTGAGAGTTTGCTAACAATCTTGGGGCAGGTGGGGTGGGAGGGGGAGGTACAAGGACAGGTGACAGCAGGGCTGGCCCCAAGCACAAGGCTCCTTCTGTAGGGAGCGGCCATGCTGCCCCAAGGACCCTGCCACCGCCCTTCCCTTGGGCTCCTCTGGCTCACACTTTTCAGCCAGCCCTCTGCAATGCCCCCCTTCCCACAGTGGTGAAGGTTCTGACTCACCACAGACCCTCCCCACCCCTCAATTTAGAAATGAATAACTCAAGGAGCACACTGGTGGTTGGCAGGAAGATCCAGAAAGTCTCCTTTCTGGATCCAGAAAGCCACATCTATCTAGCTCAAATCAGAGAGACAGAGACTGTCAGGAGAATGGAAACAAATGAGGAGGGCAGACAGATTCCAGGGAGTTATCTGAATATTAACCCTGACACACAGAAAAAGCAGTGGCCTGGGACAGAAGACTTGGAGAATACAGAGGTTGTGGCTAGAGGAAGAGGACATAAAATGACCCTCTGAGGACAGAGGGAAATAGCACACTGTCCTTTGAGTACACAGAGCATAAAAGGGCTTCCAGACAAAACACAGATAATGCTGCTTCTTTGAGAAGTCTATATTGAGCATTTCCCTCTTTGCCACAGAATACAAACCTGGTAGTAATTTCTAAGCTAACTGATAACTACAGCCCCCGCCCCTGTCAGTTTGAAAGGGTTCTCTGGCTACCAGCCTGTGGATACAGTCATCTCAGCTGGGATTCAGTTAGGTTTCCTCTGTGTAAATCTGCATTTTCTTGGATCCTCACGCCCCTTAAAAATGGTGCCTTCCTGACATCTTTTCACAGTGTGGAAACAAAGACAAGCCAGGGACAAAAGCTAGAAGGAAAGGGGTAGCATGATGAAAAATGAGGAAGCTTCCAAAATAAAGAGCAGGCCCCTCATGAGACAATTGTGCATGGTGCCCCTCAGGCAACTGGCACCTTGAAAAAATGCTTCGAAGGAGGGGGCCGGAGGTGCCAGCTGAGTTTCTCAGACCTTGGCCCCTCACAGGGTCAGATTCTGACAGATAAGAATTACTCTTAGTGTTTCAGAGGGTGCTGCGTGCTTTGGGGTGGGCGCACGCGCGCGCGCGTGCACACACACACACACACACACACACACACACACACACACACACACACACACACACCTCTGGGTATCTAAAGCATTTAAAACCGTTCTTTAGCTCATTCTGGTCAAACATTCCCTGACATGGAGAAATGAAAGCAAAGTCACTTCCCCACTATTGGAGTTGCCTCTTTGTTCCTCTTCTCTAAAAATCTGTTTCCTGCTCTCAATCTCTTCTTTCCAACATGTAAGACCTCCTCAGACTTCCTTCATGAGCCACCCAGCAGCAGTTTCTGCTTGGAGACACCAGGCCCTTGCAGGCCTTTGCCTCAGGTCTCCCGCTCTCAGGACAATAGCTGGGTCTCTCAAAATACCCAGAAGGTCCCTCAGAGGCTCCGACCCACATCCCATCATCCACCGCTCCAACCGGAAGTGCCACCTAACCCAGGACTGACAGTCTACTTTCAAGGGACAATTAAATACAGGCCTTCGCCTGGGAAAACAGGCTCTTTGAATCTTGGACCGCATTTAAAATAAATCTCCAGCAGAACTCAAATTCATTTACCAAATGATAGCTTATTCTGAACATTCTGACCCTAAGCAGGCCATGTATGAAGATGAGAAGAAGATGTGAAAGCTGTGTTCCAGGGACTACACAGAAAAACCGCTCCAACTGTGCCTTTCCTTCTGGTTAGCATCAGAGGTATACAATTTTTGCTAACGTGGGTCCACGTAAAGAAGGGGTCCCATAGTTTGAGAGACACACGGTTGAGGAAGAATATGTAAGAAGGGGGGTAATCTGACTAACCATGCTAATCGAGTTTTTAAAAGTCTAGTTCTTGCAACAATATCAGAACGTGGGAGAATCAAGGATCCACCACGTCCCCAGTGAACTACAGAAGACAGTCCACAAGCTGGGACCCAATCGTCCCTTGCCTCTGAAGCTTAGCCCCTCCACTCAGATCCCAGTATATACATTAGCACATTTTAATCATTAACAGAAAGGACAAAGCCCTAGGAAACCTGCAGGCTGGGGCCACAGACCATTTTCCCATTCATTTACAGGGAACAGCTTCAAATCCTGAATTAGTTTAGTTTATGAAGTCCCTTGGCTCAAACGTCTTTTTTGTTCTCAATGAATGCACTTTTCAGTGTTTTTAGAAAAAGCACTTTATCCATCTGTGATGGAGACTGGGCCAATTTTTTATCTTCCATCAGTATAAACAGCTAATTGCTTTGATAGATTATTTCTTATTGTAATATGACTACAGTCATATTAATTATAAGGACTTGTTTGCATAAAAGTAAAAAGACCTCCAATTTTCACACTAGAAAACACATATAGGACCACATCAGTCAACCAGAACCCTAGACTATGAAACCAAACCAAAGGGGAATTGAGCTTTTCAAAATTTTTGCCTGTAGCCCAGTAGTTTAAACACCACCTCCTCCCTGAACACAATAACAAGTTCAACAACATATTTAAAATTAAAACTCAGACTGTGAGCCATACATTTAAAACTTTTTTAAAGTTTCTAGGTTGAGAGCTCAAGCATATGTTTTTCCGTCAATTGTCAAAATCACACACATAAATTAGATCACTTCTAATTAAAATTTTTCTGGGACTAAAAATAAAGCTTTTCACGTATCTATCATTTTAGCCCCAGGAAGTAACTATATTAAGAAAATTAAAATCTTGTTCACTGCCAACATAACCAGCGTTCTGAAAGATGACATCTTCTGGCTGGATGCTTGGGTTATCTGAATTGTAACTTAAGAAATTTGTAACAGTCGACAAGTTTAAGTCTAGAAGGATCTAAAAGACTGAGCTCTCCACATCTACTTCTGAAAAACCAAAATAAGTATTCTGCTACTACTCTAAACAAAATACATTTCAGAAAAAGTAAGTGTTCAGAAAAATTAAGGTGCCTGTGATGCTCCTCCTGATTTGGTTAAAAAAGCTCCAAAACTCACAACCACATGGGGGACCAGAATTAAGACTGTTCTCTGTAATGACAAAGACTCCCACTCCATCACAGGGGCTGGAAGGTGCCTTATCCATCAAGCAGGCAAGCAAACACTAAAGACCTTTTTCAAGGGGGAAAAAAAAAAAATCCCATAGATGTGAAGCAGCTTCCTACCTATCTGCATAACCCTGCCAAAGACAGAGGTGTTGTCCACAGTGCTGCAGTTCCACCTCCGGTGTCGGAACTGATACTGGCATTCTTTGATGCCTGTCTTCGCGCCTTCTCCGATGTACTGCATGTGGTCCTGATACAAGTGGCACAGTTTCTTCTGTCCTTGAGAAAGTCCTGCCAGTTGGCTGCACAGAGGCTGCGCGCCTATGATATATACTTCTGACATCTGAACAGGGTTATTCATACCTAGCGACCTGCAAAGGGGGAGGGGGGAGATGTGCATTCAAGATTTACATGAACTCTTGAGGTAGGGCCCCCTGAAAGCATGTCAGCAATACAGAGTTTTAAGCACACAGATGCTTTCTCTCTCCTGCTTATCCTCATGACAAAGTATGAGAAGGGCTTATAAAACTCCTCTGTTTAAACTCCACTCAGAACACGGAGGTATTGTGTAGTCCTTATCCACCATCTGGTTCCTCAGTGTTTTCACTCCCTTCCCTGCCCCTGCTGCCATCTACCCAAACCAGCAATCCCAACATCCACTCAGAAAAGGGCGAAATGGTGGTTTGGAGGATCAGCTGCTGACTTTAGAGAAAGTGATTCACTTTGCCCCACAACTGGACAGATCTGCCTTGAAAACACGAATGCTGAAAGCAGATGCAACTAGACATGGGCGGGAGACAGCGGTTCTGGTTCCTTCCCACTGACGCAAGAACAGTGTCAAGTAGAGAGAGTGAAGAAAATTCACTGCGTTTCTTCCAAACACTCTAAAAGCATTCCTTATGTGATGGCAAAGGACCCAAGGCAGGGTATCCAGTGAACAGAAGTCACGTTTGACAGTCACAAAAATGCTGTCCATTTACAGGGGGAAATATCCAGAACACCGTCAGAAATAATCTGTGGTTATTTTGCAGTCTATCTACAAGGCCCCTCCAGAAAGAAGACCCATTTGGGGGGACACTGGACTACTTCAAGTTCACCTCCTTTTGATCAAATTTCAAACCCAAACATTCTGCCCTTGGAGTTGAGCTCCTATGGCTCTGCCATTTCAGACTATAGGTTAATAACATCCAGTGTGAGAAAATAAAAGGTGGAACTCACTTTTACTATCCAGAGGTGGCAAAAAGTACATTTTACAGATAGGCTTACAATTATGAGAGAAGATAATTTCTGTCCCATTGTATTACATGATGTGCTATAAGCACATGCCTGAACAAGGGCCTCATAGAAAAAGGCCCAGACATATAGGTTCCGATTGCCTATGGAAGTGAAGATAAGATTTATAGTACTAGAAAGTTAAAAGAAAAAGGCTGGGGATTTAGCTCTGTGGCACCATGCCTGCCTCACAAGCATAAGGTCCTGAGTTCAATCCCTGGTAATGAGGGAGGGAAAAAAAGAAAGAAAAAGAAAGAGAAAATCAAAGCAAAGGAAAGCAAAGCCCTGGTTTAAGATATGCATTAATAAAATATACTATACATATATTAGATAAATGTCCCCAAACTCACTTCCCATCTTTAAATATTGCAGCACCATACAAACGACTCAAAAAGAAAGAAAAGAAAAGAATATGCACGTAGAATAAACTTACCACCAAGAGTTGGCTTCTATGACAACCTGGGCGAAGGAGAAAAATATGGCCAAAGCCATTATGAAGAATTTGGAAGACATTGCACTTCCAGCCGTCCCCAAAGCCACTCCCGGGCTTAATATTCCAATGGGCTTCTGGAGAGGGAAGAAAGGAGCAGATGTTTATTGCCTCTCAGATAATTTTCAAGCATACAAGTTTAAACAACGGAAGCATCCGGGGTCTCTTAAGTTTACTGCTGATTGACTGCACTTCTCCGTGAGTTTTTTGATGGCAAGATATAGGCAGTTTCTTTTTCCAAATTAATCCACCCACGCAACCTCACCAGGAAATCTGATTTCGCTGGGATCCTGCGCGCGGGGCGCGCCAGCGATTACAAACATGTCTCAGTGCCGTGGAGTCAAAGCCCTGGTGCCAGGCGCTGCTTCCTTCCTCTCGCTGGAGTCCCGTCCCCCCTCGCTGCACTCGGTCCCTCCCCGGGAATTCACTCCGGGAACCCGCCGCCACCCTCGTCCTCTCCCCGACCTGGGCCGAGCAACAAGTGGAGCCTGAATTCATTCCAGGGGCAGGAGGAGCGCGGAGGCGAGTGGAGCGCGCAGCGGCGGCTGG